GACCATCCTGACCAACATGGTGAAACCCCATATCTACGAAAAATACAAAAATTAGTTGGGAGTGGTGGCACGCGCCTGTAGTCTCAGCTACTCAGGAGGCTGAAGCAGGAGAATCGCCTGAACCTGAAAAGCAGAGGTTGCAGTGAACCAAGATCACACCACTACACTCCAGCCTGGCAACAGAGAGAGACTCCATCTCAAAAAAAAAGAAAGAAAAAAGGCCTTTTTAACCCATGCGTATTTACTCCTACATTTTCTCCTGGGACTTTTATGTTTTAGCACTTATGTTTAGACCTTCGAAGCATTGGGAGTTAATTTTTGTATATGCTATGAGGATAAGATTCAACTTTATTCTTTTACATGTGACAATCTAGTTGTCCCAGCACCATTTGCTGAAAAGACTACTCCTTACCCATTGAATTTGTTTGGTGCCTGTGTTGAAAACAATTGACTATACACGTGAAGATTTATTTTTAGACTTTAAATCCAATCCCATTGATTTATATGTCTAATCTTATTGCAGTACCACACTGTTTTAATTACTGTAGCTTTATAATAAGTTTTTAAATTGGGAAATGTGAATCTTCCAACTTTGTTCTTTTTTTCCAAAAAATTGGAATCTTTTCCAAGGTTGTTTTGTCTATTCTGGGCTCCTTGAATTTTAATATGAATTTTAGAATAAGCTTGTGTAAAGATATCAGATGGAATTTTGATGGGGTTGCACCAAATCTGTAGATCAACTTGGAGATTACTGCCATCTTTACAAAGTCTTCTGACCCATGAACATGAGATACCGTTCCATTTATTTAGGTCGTCCTTAATTTCTTTCAACCATGTTATTTAGAGTTTAGAATAAAAGTTTTGCATTTCTCTTGGTAAGTTTATTCTTAAGTATTCTTTTTGGTGCTATTCTAGTAAATCACATTATTTTTTAAGGCTATTTTTAAAGTCTCTAAAATCAAGACGTATATTACAATCAAGGATATCAGCATTTTGTCATAATTCAGTTTGCAGTATTTTTAAATCTTAGTGGACCTACATGTGACTTACAATTAATGGCTCCTTAGACTCAATACAATATAGTATTAAATATGAATGTCTACAAGACATCAGAGGAGATGAGTTGTGGGCATTTGGATATGTCAATTTGGAAACAGAAATGTGGGGGTCATCTGAAGCTTGCTATTTAAGCCACAACAGTGAATGAGATTCCTTTGGGGAAAGAATATAAAGAAGACAAGAAGATCCAGGTTGCATGTGTGAGAAATCTCAACAAGCAGAAGCAAGTGGAGGACAAAGAGGTGATTAAAAATAAAAATCCATTTCTGTTGCAAGTTTATTGTTGTCATTATTGCTGTTGCTATTATTTGCCACTACACATTTGTCAGAATAATCTATTTATTAGGGAAATAATATGTTGATTAATCACAAATTCTTTTATTCCCCCAAATCCTACATGAATACAAGTAAATAAATAAACCTTTCAGGTCTTTAGAGAAGCATTTTAATCTGATTGTGATTTTGGATAGAAAATAGGCACATGTTTATTGCATCTTAACCTTGACTGATTGTCTAAAGGCAGCAGAAGAAAAACAGGAGAGTTACTGTAGCATTCACAATTAAAGCCAGAAATGTGTATAAAAATGCTTCTACGAAATTCATATCGCATTTGCCTGTCACATTTCTATAACGTAAGTAGGACACCAGCTGGTAGTAATGCTAATTCATCCGCCTTTCATTTACTGTGTGTCACTTCACAGATGTTGAATCTTATCCATTCCTTTTTTCTTTTTTCCTTTTTTTTTTTTTTTCAAATTCCCTAACCATCACACAAAGTTATCATTATGCCATATCCTTTAGGCAGTGGTTCTCAATCAGAGGAGATTTTGACCCCCTGAGAACATTTGACAATGTCTGGAGACATTTTTAGTTGACACAGCTGGAGGTGAGGTGCTACTGGCATAAGCAGGTAGAAGACAGGGATGTTGCTAAACATCCTACAATCCCCAGGACAGATCCCCATAATAAAGAATCACCCAGCCCAAATTTCAATGGTGCTGAGATTGAGAAACAGTACCTATGAGGATAAGTTTATATGTACATGAACTTTCTGCAGGCAAAGTCAATAGCTTTCACTAAATTCTCAAGTGACTCAAACAATTAAGAAGCAACGGCTTGAATACATGTTTCATCTAGGCCATGGTAAAGCGTGACATATTAATCTACCTCACAATAGGAGTCACCTCTCTAGTTAAGAAGACTTATCTCTGCCAGACAGATTTCACTGTCCCTTTCCACTGTTTACTGTCATTCATGGCTAGACAAACACAGATCTTTGAAGTTCCCATTTCTAGGGCCTCCAAGTGCCTCATCCCTCTATCAGCCAGATTAATATAACCACTATGGTTATAGTGACTCTTGGTGACTAAGCTAGAGCTCCATGATGTGTCTATTTAAAAGCTGCTCTCTTCAGACACACTTGGTTCAATTGGTCAATATCCATTTATTGATTGTCTACTACGTTTAACACACTGCATATACGGTGATGAAAATAATCTAACAATCTAGTATTAGAGAGTAATTTTTAAAACTGTAAGAAGGAAAGAAGAGCATGAAAAGTGAAGGTAAGAGGAGCTCAAATGAGGATGAAGAGGGAGAACAGAACACCCGGATCATTGCACGCCATGTTTATTTTTCTTTTTTCTTATTATATTTATTGATTTTTAGATGGAGTTTTGCTCTTGTTGCCCAGGCTAGAGTGCAATGGCGCTATCTCAACTCACCACAACCTCTGCCTTCCGGGTTCAAGGGATTCTCCTGCCTCAGCCTTCCGCGTAGCTGGGATTACAGGCATGTACCACCATGCTCGGTTAATTTCGTATTTTTAGCAGTGACAGGTCTCTAACTCCTGACTTTAGGTAATCCACCGGCCTCTGCCTCCCAAAGTGCTGGGATTACAGACCTGAGCCACCACACCTGGCTGCACGCCATGTTTCATTTCGTATTTTTCTCCACTCAAATGCAATAAGCAACTAACTCGTTCTGTCTAGTTTAAACAATTCTGTGAAATATTCAACTAACATTTCCTGGGCACTGACAGGCAAACGGGATACGACACTACAGGCAAGTTAAGAATAGCCAATGCAAACGCTTTCTTTTTCTTTTTTGTCACTAACAGTTCTAATTAGACACTAATGTGCGAGGGAGGGGGTTAAGTAAGCAGAATAAAGCTGATGTCCTCCGGGCACGGTGTAATCCCAGCACTTTGAGAGGCCGAGGCAGGCGGATCACGAGATCAAGAGATCGAGACGACCCTGGCCAACATAGTGAAACCCCGTCTCTACTAAAAATACAAAAATTAGCTGGGCGTGGTGGTGCACGCCTGTA